TTCCCCTCCTCTCTCTCTCTCTCTGTCGTGGCGAATTATTAATCGCTGCTCAGCGTCACGGGGTGTAAGGAGCAACGAGATTCCTTTTTCTATCCGAGTGTTACATGTAATTCTTCATCTTTGTAGCTTCTTCTCTGGTTTATTTATTTTTTCTTCTCTCTCTCTCTCTCTGTCTCTCTTGAAATTTTCTCTCTGGGCAGACGGAGGGTGGAATGAGATAAAATCGATTGTACCGATTATTGTTCACGTGTAATTATTAATTTTTGTATTGACGTTTTTTCTTAATTTTTTCTAATTTTTATCAAGAAAACTTTTTTTTATAAAATTATTATAATCTATATTATCTGTGTAATGTTCTGTACTGATGTTAATTTTTATTTTCTTTTTGTATATAATTTTGTAAATAAGAAATTTTTTTATTTAGGATAGCTCTTTTAATATAAGGATAGTGATCTTTCCTATATTACTTTTTTTGAGGTAGATTTTTTTTATTCGATCTTTTTATTCGTTGATAAGTTCGGCTTCTATTCCATTCAGGATAAGAATGCAGTAAAACCGTCAATGTGGAACAATTTATACGATATTTGTTCCTGACCGAGTGGTAATTAATAGCAATTTAATGATGCAGGTTTGAGCAAATTTGATGGAAGATAACAATACGCGCGATTGAAGGGTATTAACGATAATACGCAGTTTGATAGATTAGATGCAGGATCATTTCGAAGTAACTGAATTTCATAAGCAACATATCGATCGGATATTTAGCCTCTGACTAAACATTATCGATTTAATTAATATAACATTGTCGAATTTTCAATAAATTGTTTTTCAATTCGATTTCGAGGGAATTCTTTTTCCTCATTTTATATATAATTAAAATCTTCTGTAATAAAATATTCGATATTCGTTACTTTTATTTTTACACGTGATTCTAGATTACGCGTGATCGAGAGATTTCCATCCCTTGGCATCGATCCCATCCGCGTTTTAATTCGGCTAAAACGAAAACGTTTCGATTGTCAGTAATGGCATTTATAAAATTGTTGCGAAAATCGTTGGTTTTTTTGACGGGCCGATATTTGGCCACGAGGTAAAACGTTATGTCTGGCGGATGGCTCGCGAAACAACAAACGGCTTGTGCAAATATTTATAAAAAGCTGAAGCAGAAGCAAAAACGTTCGAATTTATTCGCGTTGTAATTGAGCCGTTAAAAGTACGAGACACAATGCCATCATCGTTGTCAAACGGTGAATCGTTGATTTTTTTCCCTCAATCGTCTTTTTTTTCTTTTTTTATTTCTTCTTTTTTTATCATTTTTCATCCAGCAAAATAAACTTCGTTCGAAATATTATATAACTCGATCTACGATTAATAGTAATAATAGTGAATAATCAAATAAGATAAGAATACAAATTGTATGTGATTTGTATATGATTTAATGAAGATTTTTATCATATGAAAAATTGCTTTATCATTGTGGCAATTGTGAAATATTCTTTTTTTTTTTATGTTGTTATTATAATTATAATTACTTATCGGTATTTTCATTAATTTTCATATTTTCGATACGCGCAAAATAGAATTCTTATTTCTATATCTAAAAATAATCGAGTTTTTTGGAAAAAAGGATAAATTTCAAAGATCGAGAACGTGTGATGTCACTGATTAATGATGGAGAGGATGGTATGAAATACGAGCGATGTGGAATTTCTAGAAGTAGAAGTTCGTTTTGGAACGATATAG